TCAATTAATATCCTGTTTGATTTCGACTTGGTTAGATTTTAGTTCTTTTATTTCTCCGGAAGGGGTTTCTCTAGTATCTTCCATGCTTTTCTCAAGCCCAGCTAGTATCTTTAAAATCGTCAGTCTGAACTCTAGGTCCGACATTGTACTAATGTCCGTATTGAGTAGGTCCCTAGCAGTCAGTACTGCCTCTTGTTCTGTTTTGAGGTGAGTTTTTCCATCTTGTCATTTTGTCCAGAGGAGAATAGATGAATGAGAGAACAGAATGCTAACAGGGTAACAACAACCCCAGAAAAATATACACTAAACAAATTAGAAGAGACCCAAAACCGGGGGAAAAGAAAGGGAAAGAAAGAAAAAAGAAAAAAAGGATATGATCAGATATGATCAGGCTAGTGCATAGATCAGTGCCACACACTAGATTTTGGGTGTATTTTGGTTTGTTAGAAGAAAGTGCCTCCCAAAATTTTAAAGAAAGAAAACTTACATATGTACAAAAATAAGGGTAAATATGAAGGGATGGAATATGACTGTAAAGATGAAAATTATAAAAGGTTTTATAAAAGGAATTGATAAGTTGGTTGAAAAAAGAAGAGAAATTTAAAAACGGGAGAGAATGTGATCAGGCAGGTGACTAGAACAAAGCCATACACTAGAGATTTAGGGTGTATTTTGGTCTGTTAGAAGAAACTGTATCCCAAAATTTTAAAGAGAGAACAACTTATATATATATACCAAAAATAAGGTTAACTATGGGATAGAATATGACTCTAAAAATGAAAAATAAAGATTTTTAAAAAAGAGATTGATAGATGTTGGTTGAAAAAGGGAAAAAGAAAAATGCAAAAAACAATAGAAAAAGAAAATTAAAAAGATTAACTTTGAAAGACTAAAGAATCATGGTAAAAAAAACATGGATTCTATGTGCAGTATTCCCCTAGCACTGGAGTTCTGCTGTTCTCATTGATCAGTAAACTTGGTCTTGGCTGGCTGACTGTTCGTGCTGATCTTCTGGGGGAGGGGCCTGTTGCCGTGGTTCCCAAATGTCTTTGCCGGAGGCGGAATTGCCCCGCCCTTGCCAGTCTGGGCTAAGTAATCTGCTCGGGTTTGCTCTCGGGAGCTTTTGTTCCCTGCAAGCTCTCAGTACAGCTTTGGAGGAGGAGAGTGAAAATGGCGGCCTCCCAATCTCCACCTCGGAGGGGCCGAGAACTTGGGGCCCTGCTCCTCAGTGCGCCCCCAGAGAAAAGCCGTCAATCACTCCCATCTCCCCGGTCTCCGGCCGCACTCCGTGCTCACCCGGCCTGTGACCGAGCGTTTCTATCTCTGGCACCCGACCCCGTGTGGAGTCTCCAAACCCAGCAGATCCCTGCAGTGCACTCTTCCTGGAGGAGGAAGGGGAGTCTCTCCAGCTCTGCCGCTTGTTGGGTCCCTGCTGGAGGAGCAGTGGCCCGACTGGGCCGCGGATCACAGTCTATGGCAACCCCGAGCTGAGAGCCTGCGCCTCATATCCGTCTCTGCAGCCGGCTTCCCCGCTCTGATACCTGGGAGGTCTGCCGCACTCGGGCACCCCCGGTCTTTCTGTGACCCTGAGGGTTCCACCCCCGGCTTAGCCACTGGAGCGACGTCCCTCAGTGGAGCCGACTTCTAAAAGTTCCGATTTTGTGCTCCGCGGCTCTATCTCTCGCCAGTAGCGGCTGATGGAGGCCCCCTCCCGCGCCGTCTATCCTCCCAAATATCGCCTCGGATCCACTTCTCTGCACGTCCTACCTTCCAGAAAGTGGTGCTTTTCTGTTCAGAGTTGCTGCTATTCTTTTCTTCGATCTCCTGTTGAGTTCGTAGGTGTTTAGAATGGTTTGATCCCTACCCAGCTGAATTCCTGGGACCAGATGAAATTTAGGTCTCCTACTCCTCCGCCATCTTGCTTTTCTTGGTTGATGAATTTTGTAAGCAGAAATGTTTCATTTTTCTCTAGTCCATTTTTCTCTCATGATTCTGCCTTTGATAGCATGCTAACTTTGGAAGTTCTTCCTTATCTCAGAATCCAAGTATATTAACCCATTTCTTGCTAATATTTGTGGTTTTGTATTTCATTACCTTTAAATCTTTAATCCACATGGTTTAAGAGATTTAACCTATTTTCCCCCAAAGTTTAACCAGTTTTCCCAATATTTAGTGAATTATAATTATTTTAGTGACTAATAATTATTTAGTGAATAATAATTATGAATATGTTTTGATATTGGCAAGGCAAATCCCTTCATCTTGAATTTTAAAAAATCTGACTATTCTGCATTTTCTAAAAAAAAAAAATCATATTATTTGCCAAGTGAAAGAAAATCCCATTAGAATTTTTATTATAATCAAATAAGTTTACATATTATTTTAACTGGGAAGAATTGATGCTTCTAGGGCGCCTGGGTGGCTCAGTTGGTTGAGCAACTGCCTTCAGCTCAGGTCATGATCCTGGAGTCCCGGGATCGAGTCCCGCATTGGGCTCCCTGCTCAGCAGGGAGTCTGCTTCTCCCTCTGACCCTCCCCGCCCCTCACGTGCTCTCTCTCTCATTCTCTCTCTCTCAAATAAATAAATAAGACCTTTAAAAAAAAAGAATTGATGCCTCTAATTTTGAATTTTGCCATAAGGGAAGAGGACACATATTTTCCAAATTAGTGATATTCAAACTGAACTAGTTTTGTGTTTGACATGTTTAAGATCTGTGAGGCAAAGACAGCTAGAAGTATTAGAACTTAGGTTTTAAACTGGTATCAGAGGGAAAAGACCACATTGTGGAAGAGAAGGGGAGCATCCATTTCAGAGCATTAGAAGGTGGAAAGGGCATTCTCCTAACTAGCTCCCTGGCCTCCTGCTGGGATTGAACCACCTCAGGGATTCCATCAAATTGAGCCCCAGTGCATGCCAGTGTAATTTTTGCCATTGCCTTCAGTCTCCAGAAAAGAAACTAAATTTCCTTTCTGCAGTGCTTGACTACCCTTGAGATAATGAAAAACTGGTAAGGACTCTTATCCTGACTAAATGTCCTTCAAAAGCAGTCCCCCATATTTTCCTGCATTCTTGTTACCTGTAGTGCATTAGTTGATCAGCATCTCTCCTCTCTCAGAACTAAGATGATACCATGTGAAATAGTGCATAGAAATAAAGGTGGAAAAAGAACCTAGATTATAAAACAACAGAATGTTAGATGCCTTCTGAAGAAGCTGGGCCCTATCCCCATACCTCCCTCTGTGTGTGTGTGTGTGTGTGTGTGTGTGTGCGCGCGCATGCACATGCGTGCACACTTGGTTTCTATTTTCTTTTTTTGTCCTCTTGGTTGATGAATTTTGTAAGCAGAAATGTTTCATTTTTCTCTAGTCCATTTTTCTCTCATGATTCTGCCTTTGATAGCATGCTAACTTTGGAAGTTCTTCCTTATCTCAGAATCCAAGTATATTAACCCATATCTTGCTAATATTTGTGGTTTTGTATTTCATTACCTTTAAATCTTTAATCCACATGGTTTAAGAGATTTAACCTATTTTCCCCCAAAGTTTAACCAGTTTTCCCAATATTTAGTGAATTATAATTATTTTAGTGACTAATAATTATTTAGTGAATAATAATTATGAATATGTTTTGATATTGGCAAGGCAAATCCCTTCATCTTGAATTTTAAAAAATCTGACTATTCTGCATTTTCTAAAAAAAAAAAATCATATTATTTGCCAAGTGAAAGAAAATCCCATTAGAATTTTTATTATAATCAAATAAGTTTACATATTATTTTAACTGGGAAGAATTGATGCTTCTAGGGCGCCTGGGTGGCTCAGTTGGTTGAGCAACTGCCTTCAGCTCAGGTCATGATCCTGGAGTCCCGGGATCGAGTCCCGCATTGGGCTCCCTGCT